TGCTGACCCACCTCGGTGTGGGGTGATGGGCCCCCGCGGTCCCCACGGCGCCCGTCGCGGACGCGATGGAGCTGTCCCCTTATCCGCGGTGCTCATTGCTTTTATGGCAGCCCGGTAAATCCAAGGTGAGGAATAAAATATCTCCGCTGTGGTGCTGGATCCCTGCGGATGGAGAGTGTCTCAGTGGCGTTTTAGCATGGGAGCTGTCGGTAGGGGAGGGAAAAACTGAGCATGTCTTAGTAACTTTTGCGCAAATAGCTGCGGGCAATGGCTATTGTTCGGCTTTTGAGAATTTAGAGATTAGCGTTTTTCTTATAGGTTTGTAGTCTTCTGTATTCAGTCATTACTACAAATGTCTACTAAAAGTAGTAGACAGTAATCATGTTGTTTAGAAATTATTTTATATTTTGTATCATGTAAGATGCAACTTGCTATGCATGCATATACACTAATTTCTACATTACTTATATTTTTCAGTATATAAAAGCACTTGCTATAATACATCTGTTTTTCCTGCTATAAAAGTGGCGTTGTCACAACATTGCCACTCTGGCGTGCAAGAGTTGTTCTTCCCGTAGTTTGTCCTCTTATAGCCGTATTTGTTTCAGGATTAACTCTTGTGTAAATTTAGTGTACTTTCCTAATGGTTTGTAGGATTGGCACTTTGAAAATGTCCTCATCACATAAATATTCTTTGCAACTGCTGCATTGATAGCTGAATGTGTTAACATAAATCAAATCAGAAGCAGAATCGAATGAAAATATTGTCTTAGCTAGTTTTAGGTCTGAGCAGAAGCAAACTTGATATTCTTTCTGTTAACTTCAGTAGATTTTGTAGAAGAATAAAGAAGCTGTGGATGGGAGAGGTCCTAATTTTACCTACACTTAGATGCTTGTTGCTCTGTGCACGCGTACTCGTAACATTTCTGTTAGTATTGTCTCAGTTGCATAAAAGTCTGACAAGATGCTTGTTAGTAATTAAATTGCTTTTTCATACATTACTACTCTTACATTTAGGTATTGGGCATTACATGATCGTGGTGAGAAGTAATTACTGCTATTAAGAATCCTCTGTCTATCTATTAAAATAGTAGTTTATTCATGTTTGCAAAACATTTGGGGACAGTTTACCTTCCGCTAGGATTATTTGTCAGCACCTGAGACCTAATGCCGAGCAATGGCTTCTGAAAGATGTAAAATGATCTGAATATTGATAGGTTTTTATCCATAGAATTTCTGTTGAATTCTGTTGTACAATTACTGCATTGCAAATGCATTGTTACTGTGTCTGATAGGTTGTGGTGGGGTATTATGTTACAGTCAGCAATATTCTACTTTAAATTATAAATTTAACCCAGTTGAGTAGTTCTTTATATGCTTCTAATCATGTGCTATTGCACTAATATTAATAACACCTGTTTGTGCTTTAGGCATGAATGAAGAGAACAATTTCTATGAAGAATAAAACTACTTAATTCTGGAAGACCTCTCAAAGCACAGTTAGCATTGGAGCAGGAGAAAAATATGAAGAAACAATCCATCTGACTCTCTCTGCCTCTCACACAAAATAAAAAATGGCTCTTTATAAAAAGACTGTTGCGAGTGTCTTAGAGGAACCCCTTTTTGCTTGCAGACAGAACCAGAATGTTAGGAAAAAACTAAGACTGATACGAATAATAGGGCTTCTTGTGAGTATAATGGCCATTAGTACTTTCTCTCTTTCAATTAGTGCCTTTTTCAAGACCGAGTCACATAGCACAGAGCCGGCCAGCAGCCTCGATAGCCAACGGCTAGCGCATGGGCACCAAAGAACTCTCTTGGATTTCACAGAACTGAGTGGAGGCAGCACCCCAGACACTCTTGTCACTATGAGTTACAAAGCTGAGGACAGCAACGCCACAGAAGATCACGCCAAGGGAGAATACCCAGAGGACCTTTTCTCTCTGGAGGAAAGAAGAAGGGGAGCAGTCATCCTCCATGTCATTGGGATGATCTACATGTTCATAGCCTTAGCCATAGTCTGCGATGAGTTCTTCGTTCCTTCCTTGACTGTCATCACTGAAAAACTGGCCATATCTGATGATGTGGCTGGGGCAACCTTCATGGCTGCTGGTGGCTCGGCCCCTGAGCTCTTCACTTCTTTGATTGGAGTATTTATATCCCACAGTAATGTCGGCATTGGGACAATAGTGGGGTCTGCCGTGTTCAATATCCTATTTGTTATTGGAATGTGCGCTCTGTTTTCTAGAGAGATCCTAAACCTCACCTGGTGGCCACTCTTTCGAGATGTGTCCTTCTACATCATTGACTTGATCTTGCTAATCATCTTCTTTCTGGATAACTTAATTATGTGGTGGGAAAGCTTAGCGCTACTGACAGCGTATTTTTGCTATGTGACTTTCATGAAGTTCAATGTGCAAGTAGAAGAATGGGTGAAAAGATTTTTGAATAGGAACAAGGTTGAGAAGGTAACAGCAGCAGACTCTGAAGGAAAGGTTGGTCAATATTTAATGAGATTTGTATATTACTGCTCTTGCAAATTCTGAGTCCCCCTTTATCATGAGAGCCCTGATACAGTACAATAAGCCATATAGCATGTTTGATGCTTTGCTAAAAGGTTTTTCTGTTGTTGTTGTTTAATCAGTCAAACAGAACTGAAAAAAGAAAAAGCATGAGACAGCTTTCTAGGAAATCAATAGCTTTTAACTCCAGAACAATCCTAATCACAAGAACACCAATGAGAACAATGCACACAAAAACACCCGAGTCTTCACTGTTCAGCACTTTCCCACATCAGTAAGGCCTGAAATAAAATTATTTCTTTTCTCAGTTTATGAGGAGATTATGCAATAACTGTGGGGCATCTTTTTTTTTTCTTGACAAAACGCAACTTTTAATGCCTTTTACTTCCTAAAACAAAAGTAAAAACACTTAGAAAATGATATAATCTTACTTTTATGTGTTTCATCTTTTGATTTTGATTATACAATACTTATTCCCTGTTGCAACTAATAACAATTACATGAGAATATATCTCTGGAGAAGCAGTGACAATAATGGCAAAATGCTGCCAATTTAAGTGTGATTGTGATTGTCTTTCTTGCAGAGTACTTTGCATTGGAGCAATTTTTTTTGTCTTCATACCTGGTCATGAGTAGGGAAGAGAATTATGCATAGAAGTGTTTCGTGGGTCTTAGTTATAACTATCTCTCTTAAATAGATCACTTTTTAGAGAAGTATATATTTAAAATATTTTTGAGATTGAACCCATAAATACATATGGATGTAGGCAGTGTGTTAAGTGAATGTTTAATCCTGAAATTGAAGTGTCTAGTTTTATATGACAATCAGCTTATTCATGAGGTAAGGTTATATTATTCAGTGAATGTGTTGTGTTTATTTCTGTAGCACTTATCAGAGGAAAAGGAGGGAAAGGATGTATTGGTCTA